GTACGAAAAGATACCTGTGTAAACGGGAATGGCATCTGTTTGAAGACTGACTAATACTGTAGCAAGACTTTTCTCTTGCGATGTTAATTACAACTGGTTCAGTGTGTGCTAAGCAAAGTGCTTCGAATAGCACAGAAGTGCTCCAGAGGACCGGGAGGCTCAGTGGTCATGTTTGCGTAGCGTGCACACGGCCGTGGGTCCATCCCCAGCACCACGCACAACCAATCAATCAATACAAGCTCTGTAACGGCCGATTGTGGTGTTCGGTCCTCATGCCCTTGTGAAGTGGAAATTACCATTCTCCTCATTTCAGAAGAGACTGCGGCTCAGAGGGCAGTGATGTGCTTGGCCCAAGGATTCAAAGCATGTCATGGCCCCAGCTCCTAGTCTCCTTGCCACCGTGGTGGCATGGTGCAAGTTATAGGCTGCACGGACCGATACCTGATGCACCTCGATAGCCTCCATATCAGATAGTACGGCCTGGCGAGGCCAGCACACTATTCGTGTGTCACGGGAAGTGTCTTGGCGGTGATTACATATTTGTATCAGTACTTCTGGTCCAACTTAGTACTTCAAGAGAAAGCCCCATCGGGATTATCACGAGGGGCTTGATCAGCGTGACCCTTGTGACCATCTGTGAGCCCTCAGGACAGAGTGGAGGACACCATCAGGTGTTGGCGGCTAGGACAGAGCAGCCACTTCCAGCAACACTCGGGGAAGGCAGAAGCGAGATTTTCCTCAGTAAACCTTATCTAGAGGTGTGACCTTCGCCATGCAGCCATGGAACGAGTGTCTGTGACATAGAATTAAACTGTGTAACATCTCAAAGACACGCGCTTTATCGGAATCAAGGCATAGCACTGCGCATTTACTTAGACTCATAGATCAGTTTTAAAGCTTATTCTGTATAAGTATTACATTGTCAGCTGAGAAAGAAAACACTGAAATATCGAATAATTTGCCCTCCGTGGGTGGGTAGAGACTGGAGAAACAACGGAAGGGAAGGGATTCTTAGACCTGTGAAGTCTGCTTGGTTTCGCTGTCTGACTGTCAGAGTTGAATTCTGTATGTTTGAAAAAATTATAAACTAGTCACACCTGTTAGCAGACGCACAGTGTTGCACATTGGTGATTTTTCAAAAATGGAGAGTCTTATTTGTTAAGGAAGTTAAAACCATCATAAGATTATATTCGTTATTTACTTATTTATTTGTCTATTTTGGATTTGAACTCAGGGCTTCACACTTGCAAAGCAGGTGCTCTGCTACTTGAGCCACACACAGTCCATCTTGCTGTGGTTATTTTGAAGATGGGGTCTTGAGAACTTGAGAAGATGGGGCCTTGAAATTTGATCCTCCTTATCTCAGTCTCCCAAGTGGCTGGGATTATAGGCATGAGCCACCAGTACCTGACACATAATTAGTTTTAAAATTGTGATTGCTGGAGAAATGCCTGAGGTACAGAGCCCCTCGCCTTAGTGGCTAGGCCCTGCAGGACCCCATGGCCCACTCCTCAACACTATCTCAAATGGGGACTACTAACTCTCCTCTGCTGCCCAGCTTCTGGGACAGGAATACCAGGTGCAGTACATGTAGATGGGCTGTGGTGTCAGTCGACTAGCCTAGAATTCATTCTCTACCCAGGGCCTTCCACAGTCTCTGGATGGAGATGAAACATCCTGGCTGAAAGGGGTTTTGCCATGCGGTCTTTGATTGATACATATGCTTCTGGTTTTTGTAGCAAAGTAGTGCCCCTTGGCCCATTTATACCTTTTCCAGTCACTCTGACTTTCTTGGTGTCTCAAGCCTTCTATTCTTCCACCAGGCTCAGCCACAGCCCCGGCCTTTGACCCAGCTCCCCCTCCACACCGACGTGGGACCATCAGTGCACAAGCACTGCTACTGCCTTTCTCAGACTTCACAGCATAAACGGCATTGCGTTCTGTCCCAGGGTTTAAAAATAACGTGGACTTCAGCTAAAATAACTGGATGAATGGCCCGACACCAGCACAGAGATGGATTTTCCACTGTGCATAGGCATCAACGTTTGTAGCTAAACTCAGATAACAAGGAATTGAACCACACATGTTGAATTTTTCAAGTTGAAACACTTATTTCCCTGAAGCTGGCTTTAGGACTACGTCTTAGTTAAACCTTATTTTCCAGTAGTCGTTTGGATAGTGACTGGTATTTTAAGATGTCAGTTGTATGTGAACATTTCATGAATTCTATCAACAAATCAAATTCTTTGGCTACGGTGTGTGCTTAAGGAATTACAGTGTGTGCTTAAGGAATAACGATCTGAGCTTCTTACTGTGACTGCCCGTCACTCCAGGATGGGCATATCTCTGTATAGTTTCCTTTTATTTTTATCATTGCGCCTCAACCCCATAAAAACATATGACAAGAATTTTAAACAGGCTATCTCCACAATAGTTTTCTCAGATTGCCAGTCAGAGCGAAAATGGTGTTAAGCTCTGTGGATAGTCCTGCAGGTTCTTACAGAGTTAATCTTACACTGACCCTGTGACTAGCGCTTAAACTCCTGGGATTTACCCTAGAGACAGGAAAACGCACGTTCACACAAAACCTGTGCGTGCTTGCTCGTGTCAGCTTCATTTGCAATAGCCAAGCCTGGAAGCAGCTCTAACGCCCTTCAGCACACAGCTGAGTAAGCGAGCCGTGCCATGTCTCTATAGAGCACTGCCGGTGGGAAGGTACACGACGGACACACCCACCGGCTTCCGTATGTCTTGAAGCCGTCGTGCTGAGTGAAAAGGCCGCTCTCCAAGGTCACATACGTATGGTTCCATCTGTGATACCGTCTCACAGTGGCAGAGTTAGAGCAGGAGCTCACCGGTTGCCAGAGGCCAGGGTAGGTGGGGAGGGTGTGACTGGAAAGGGGGTTTTTGTGTTGATGGAGCTGCCTGTGTGACAATTGAGGAGTCATCTGTACAAGTCCACACGTGATAAAATTTCATAAAAAAAAAAAAAAGTCAAGTGGGGCCAGATACAGTAGGACATGCCATTAATCCCAGCTGCTCAGGAGCAAAGTAGGGAGGACTGTGGCTCACAGCCTACCCTAGGCAAAAGCCCTACCTGAAAGGTAAACTGAGGGGGCATGTATCAAGTGGTAGAGTGCCTGCCTAGCAAGCTCTCGGCTCTGAGTTCAAATCCCAGTGCCATGAAAAAAGAGCCATAGGGAAATGTTAAAGCATTCTTAGAAATTAAAAATATATCAAAAGCTCAAAAAATGACAGAAGAGTTGGAATGTAAAGTTGAGAGCGTCTGTCAGAATGTGTAAAATCCTCATCAGAGTTCCAGAAACAACACAGACACAAGAAATAAAAGAGGAAAATTTCCCAGACCTGAACGACCTAATTTGCCACATGGCCAGGATCCACCAAGTGTCTAGTGAAATAAGCAGAAAACATTCCCAGTTTCAATTTATTCTGGAAGAGATGAATTCCAGAATAAACTTCTCTTGAAAAGGGTAAATCACAAAGGAAGTGACAGCTGACTTTTCAAAAACAAAACAGATGCTCAGGACAGTGGCGCCATATCTTAATGACTGAGAAAAAATGGTCCAGTGTCACATTCCACCCATGAAAATAGCAAACAAATGCCAAGGTAAGGATAGTTTACCTTGGGGACACAGATTGGCCTTCTACACATCATTCTTAGATAATTTTTAGAAAATGATCTCTAGCAAAAAGGAAAAAAGCACAAGACATGAAGAGGATCCCCCAGTGAGAGCTCCTGACACAGGCAGCCAGAGAGGGACATGGGAGGACAACAGCCTGGCAGGCCAGGAGTGAGTCAGACCAGACGGAGCGGGATTACAGGAGGTCAAGGGGATGAAGGATGAAGTGGAAGATGAGCTGCTAGTTGTTTATGGTGGAGAAATAATATCCACAGGCCTCTGTTCCACCCCACAGAGCAGGTTGGAGAATGTAAGGTAGATATACTGAAAACCACAAGGGGTGGGGGGCTGGAACAAGGCAATTATTAATCCAGGGAAGACAAAGGCTATACCAAGAAAGGAAGCGTCATCTTCAGGGCATGCCTTGCATTATGGTGACCAGTATTTACCAAGTCACAGTCAACACTGACTGTTGAATTACCAGGAAGTCATCACTTGATTACATGGGAAGGATGGAGGGAGGAAAGCCAGGTTTATAGAGAGCGGGTCTTAGGCAGGAGGAAGCTGATGAGTTTCTGTTCAAAATTGAGAAATCAATGGTAATCCAAACCAAGAGTATAAACAGAATAACAGCTCACTGAAGGCATTCCTGGGAGTGAGACTGGGGGGCGGGGGTGTGTGTGGGGGGAGGACACAAGGTTGATTAAGTCGCCACAAGGTCCCCACTCCAAATCCCAATGGAGACCCCTTTTCTTCCAAAGGGTGAAGTACTCACCTTGTGAATGTTGGGTGATCTTTCATTCTTTTCAAATAACATACGTGGGGAGAGGAGGCAGTGAGACCCGAGTGGTACCTTTGGAATGACCAGTTCTGAGTCGCTCGTTATGGAGATAAGCACAGTCCCCACGAGTTCCTTCTTGAACTCAGCGCCGTAGGAATGAATGGTTTGTTGCCTGTACTTAAGATTTAGGCAGAGTGAAGCAGAACCTCCTAGAAGTTCCTATTCACCTGGCAGCCACACAGTTCCTTAATTATAGATTCAGTTCAGATGGCTATCTGCACGCCTGCATTTTAACACTAGAGTGACAGCCATCACCCGATGACTTGCACCCTGCAGGGTGCCTGAGCCTCTGGGCCCACGGTCTCTGCAGGGCAGGGTAGAGATGTAGCAGCCCTTGGGCGTCTGAGAACTGCCAGGTTCCTTACACCTCGTCTCCTGATCCATCAGGACTTTAAATTTGCATTTCTGACTTTGGGGATCATGGTGTTAGTATGCACAGGTATCCTAGGGCACACGTAACAAAACGTGTATTGGTCTATTATTCCTTTTTCAATTTATTTGTTTTGTGTCTTTGTCAGAATGTTATGGAACAGTTCAATCCTGGACTACGAAATTTAATAAACCTGGGAAAAAATTATGAAAAAGCTGTTAATGGTAAGTCTTTTTGTTTTTCTAAATTGATTATTGTAAAGCACACAAAAGCCATTCAGTTACTGCTTTACAAATTTTTTTAATGCTTACCACTGAACTTTTAAAATGTCTTTAAATGGAAGACATGATTTCTAATTAACCTAAGAATTTTGCAGTATTCAGTGGTTAGTGTATTTGATCTGAGTTAATTGGATGAGAATGAGAGTTCTGTAAAGGATGTATTTAACTGTCAAATTGTGCTTTTATGTCATTGCCCTAAACATGTTTTGCAAACCAAATTCTGGTGAGCTAACAACATATATATATTTAATGCATGGGAGTGCCCGCCACAGGGAACCGCTCTCCTTTCTGTTGAGGAAAACCCCTTGCCTCCAGGTGTATCATTTTTATAGTAACATGAGAATAATATTTTTAGTCTCAGTGGAGAACATTCACCCTGAAAGCTGGCCTCTGATCCTTGTTTCACAGTTGGCACTTCATTTAAAAGAAACTTGAGGGTTGGTTTGTGCCCCCTGTGAACCAGAGTCACTGCTGCCACCGTAAGAACTTTTAATACTAACAACCATTACATTATGACAAAGTCGAGACAGTTCTCCCTGTGTGGCGAGGGTCACCCCAAATACTGAGCCCCAGGTTCACCTTCCAGCCTGGCTCACCAAACCGCAGAAGCAGAAGCTTTAGGTTCTCCGGGTTCAGCTCTACGGAGACTGCACATCGCTCCCTTCCTTTCCTGTGCTTTCATTATCTTCTGGTAATGTGGTAAACTCACTCAATAACTTTCTTTTATTTTATCGTAATTAATGATGCTAAGGGATTTCATTGTGATGTACTGCATACACGAGTACAGTGTGCCTTGACCAAACTCACCCCCCCTCACCCCCCACCCCTTGCACCCCCATCCCCTCCACCCTTTGAGTCTCCACACCACACCTTTGCTTTTGCGGATATTTTGAAAAGAAACCTCTGTCTCTCTGTATGAGTCCAGCCCAGGACAGGGGATATGCTGGTGGACTCTGGACTGTAGGTGACATGACTGAGCAAGCATTGGCACAGTCACCTGAAGTAAACTGCTTATCAACTTTCTTCTGCCTCCCTGACGCTTTGGGTGTCAGGAATCATCTGAGTTCTGCTCCCTCCCGCAGGCAGCACCAGGGCCTTCTTTGGGCCTCTTCCGCCTTCCTCCCCCACTCCCTTGCTGATTGCATAAGGCCAGCAGGGCACTGCTGTGTGTGCCCCTGGGAAGGAGATCACTGTGGCCTTGTCTTTTCCTAGTAGTAAGTGCTAGAAAGGAGACAGTGCCTCAGAAAGGCAGTTACCAGGTGAGTCAGAAGCTGCCCACGGCTCAGCCTCCTGCAGACAGGCCTCTCCCCAAGGGCTGTCACCACTTGCATGCCTCGTGGAGGTTGTTCTGTACTTTCTAAGCACTCCTGATCCTGCAGCCTGCGGGCCACCTACTTGTGGCTTTGCTGAAGCCACTGAGAGATTTTCATAGATTAATGAAGGCCATGGGGAGACTACCGATGCCCGCAGGTCCACGTCAGTGTCAGGTGGGTCACTTAGCTATGAGAGCTGTGCAGACCAGCGTTACAGGGACCAAGCAGACTGGCAGGCAGGCAGCCAGCTGAGAGACACTGCTTCAGACAGAAAAGACAGGCTAGCAGAAAAGCCTATCCTGGCCTGGGGAGCCCTACTGACCCTGGGAGATGTGGGTGGCTTGCAGGCAGACTGGGTCAGTGTAGACACATGGGTGAATGCGGGTACAGCAAATTGCCTCCAGTTCGATGGCTGGAGACAGCAGTTCCTGACTGTCCTCCAAAGCCACGCCCTGTGACTCACGTCAGCTGGCCTGGACCCCAGGCTGGGGCTGGACACGCTGTCTCCCACGGGGTCTTTTCCCTTCCAAGAGGCCACACTGGAGCCTCTCACTATAGCAGGTGTCCCCAGAGTGCTGAACTCATCAGGCCAAAGCAAGTAACATGGCCGGACCCCCATTGGTGTGGCAGGGAACCACACAGGCTGGGATTCTGGTATTCAGTGTAGCTCAGTGCAGGCCCCTCCTGTAAAACGCTACAGGAGAGGGCTGGTGGAGTGGTTCAGTGGTAGAGTACCGCCCAGCAAGCGTGAGGCCCTGAGTTCAAGCCCCAGTGCTCAAGCCCCAGTGCTGCCAAAAAAAAAACCACAGGAGCTCCAGGGAGCACAGCCTGGCCCTGGGGGCCATGTGAGATAGACTTGAAGGGAAGCCCCTCCGGTGGAGTTAAGTGTGTAGATTAACCTCGGATAATAAAGTACTTTACTGGCCACAGAACAGAACAGCTCGCTCCATTCCTTCAAACCACAGGAACCAGCTGATGTGTTCACAGTGGGGGGCGGGCAACACTTGTATCTCTTCTTTCCTTCTTTATTAGTTCTTGGAGAAGTTATTTAACCTTTAGGTTAATTCAATTTTATCATAAAAGCAGAGAGATGTTTATAAAACTGAGGGTTACATGGTTTTAAACCTAAGTCAACAGTTCATGAAGAATTTCAGTGTAATGTGTGGACACAAACCAGAAAGTTAGTTGCAGTACTGTGTAATCCTGTGTGCTATTCTCACACTAATAAGCTTTCACTAGAGCTTTCCAGCTCAAATCTTCATTCTAAAATACATATATTAACTTGACAGCTTGCTGGCGGCACACCTTGCTTTTTAGCTGGAGGTGCTTTTCCTTTAGGTCTTGCTGAGAGCAGAGAGTCAGAAAGGAACTTGATTTAGAGCTGGGGAAGTGAAGTCCTTAGCAAGAGTTGTATACACTACTGCTGAGTCACATTGACCTTGGGGACAGGGGTGGCCCCGAATGTCTCCACTCCCCTCGGTGACAGGTGACGGGCTGATAGTGTTTCTGACCAGACTTAACTTTGTCTTAACATTGTCCTCTAGATTAACTAAGCAATGACTCAGAGTTTAATAAATACTGATTGTCCAGCTAGAGGAGTGGTTCAAGTGGTAGAGCGCCTGCCTACTAAGCTTGAGGCCCTGAGTTCAAGTCCCAGTACAGCCAAAAAAAATGATAATTATCACTGTTTTGTGATTACATTTCAAGGTTCTTCCTAGTCTTATAAAACAGTAGTGTAGCAGGAAGTGCAACCCCTAAACTAATATAAGATATACCATAAGTCAGTACTTAGAACTTTTAAACTCCACAGTAAATGCTGACATGGGTAAATTTGACATGAAAATCTAATGCCTACAATACCTTCAGCTGGACTGACCATTCTGTGCCCCTCTCCTTTTTTTTTTTTGGATTTTTCTTTTTAATGGGACTGGGGTTTGAACTCAGGGCTTCAAGCTTGCAAAGCAGGCACTCTACTACTCAAGCCGTTTTGCTCCTCCAGTCCGTTATGCTCTGATTAATTTAGAGATGGGGGTCTCTTAAACTATTTGCCTAAGATGGCCTCAAACCTTGATCCTCCTGCTCTCAGCCTCCCAAGTAGCTGAGATTACAGGTGTGAGCCACTGTGCCTGGCCCCCCTCTCCTTCTTTATGCTACCCTTTAAAGTCTACCTTTTAAGCACGTGCTCTTTATAAACTAGGGCAGAGCACCCTGGGTGGCCTCTGGTTGCCTGTTGGCAAAAGGAAGAGGTTGGACTAGGGGTTCTTTAAGTTTCGAGATTCTTCCAGCTCTAGAGCTCCAAGAGAAACCAATTTCTATATATGAAACAGTCTTTAAGCTGGAATTACAGGTATGAACCACCACACCCGGCCATTCTAGGTCTTATTGAAAGGCTTGCTTTTCATGCACCTTCACTCTGTTTGAGCTGAGCCTCTTGGAAGTTGCTAGAAACACTCGCTTTTACCAGCTGCCATTTGTCCATCCATCACTCCTCCACGAGGGTGTTTTATAGACAGTAGCCTTCCCTTCAGAAGGGGTATGTGACTTGGCCAAGGAGTCTCCAGTCAGCTTGACAGGGGATGTAGTTTTTAAGATAACTAGAGCCCAGCTTGTAGAGCCATAAGAATGTTTCTGTTTCTGCCAAAGAAGAAAGTAGAGCCAGTTCTTTTTCTTTCTTTCTTTTTTCTTTCTTTCTTCTTTTTGATAATTGCTTTTTGAAATGCTAATACATTTCAAATTTTACTGACTTCCTGCTGGCAACACATATGTTGGTTTGTGATTCTTAGAATGTCTTTTTTTGTTGGTGGTGATACTGAGATTTGAACTCAGGTCTTCCTGCTTGCTAGGCAGGCGCTCTACCACTTTGAGCCACTCCACCAGCCCCAGAATGTCTTTTTTAATAGAAAAGGTAAGTGTGTCATCAAAGTACCATGTTCCTAGGCCACCACACTTGAGTCCTCCTGACCACAAGGAGACTGGCTGAGAAGAGGCTCTGTGCTGGAGTGGCCATGTCCCCAGCTAATCTGCAGCCAGAACCTGTGCCTTCTGGAGCTGGTGTCAGGAGCATCACTGGCTGGTCCCAAGCAAAGGCTGAACCTTCTTGAAACCAGAGGAACTGGGAGATGTTGGGGAGACAACCCGTGTTGCTGGCTTCCTCCTTTAAGTGACAATTGTGTGTGTCATCTTTCCTATCTAGCAATGATCCTAGCAGGAAAAGCCTACTATGATGGAGTGGCGAAGATTGGAGAGATGGCCTCCGGGTCCCCTGTGTCCACTGAGCTGGGTAAGCTGACCTGACTGACATCCATTATATACAAGCCTAATTTGCTGCCCAAGCCCCCTGATAACAGTGCTCCAGGCAACACACAGAGGGACCAGAAAGTGGCCTGCTGGGCACTGTGTGGGGGTGGTGGAGGGCAGCCAGGCCCAGGGCCCCAGGACCGAGTGGGACTCAGCTTCCCCTCTGTGCTGGGCTCTGATCACACAAAATGTAGGTTCAGACCTACATTCTGAACCACGGAGGGACAGCAGGCCTCCTGCCTGGCCTGAGTGCATCCTGTGACTCAGCCTGGAGCCCAGGCTTCTCTGCTGCATGATGCCCTTGCACAGTGGCTCTCGGTGGCAATTTTTCCGGTTCTGCTGCTATGAATTGGTCTCTGTGCAGATGCAGGGCAGCCCAGGGTGTGGCCCAGAGGGAAGCTGCCTTTCTATTTTCAGAGCTGCCTCCTGCCAGGAAGGTCCACTGCACCCATGTCCCACTCGTCCCACTTGTCCCCCTCATTTGGAAACTTGCTGAATGTCTTATTGTGTGGAGGGGAAGCTCTCTGCCTCAGAGATGGCATTGCATGAGGGGCTCAGAAAGCTAGAGAAAGGGAGAGGGCGCGTGTGTGTGCACACCTGTGCTGGGCCGAAGTCCATGAGTTCCCATCCACGTTCCTGTCTCCCACTGCCATAGACAAAGCCAGACAGCATGTCCAAAGGATGCTCCCAGATGAGAAAGTCTTGTTTAAAAGAATCTCAGTCACAAAGTTCACCATCCTGACTGTGCAGATGGGTGCCGTAACTTCTGCGTGTTCCAGCCAGGGCCAAACTACAGCAGCTCTGTTCTAAGCATGATCAATTTAATGGCCTGCAGCCCACCTTGTGTGACACAAGCCGATAGCAAAACCCAGGCCAGCGGGGGCGGGGGGGGACCAGCCAGATGATTACAGGTCTCCAAAAATAGGACCGAATGAATAAGAAGCATCCATCTATGCCAGGCATCAGGGGAGGCGTGACCCCGACATGAAAGCCTGGCTCTGACTCACCCGATTCAGCTCGCCTTTTTCATGTTTTATGGGCCTCGCCGCTGTTTAAATGAGACTTGTGTTCCACGCCTCGCTTTACTCAGCGAGGAGTAACCAATTGTTCCCTCGGCAACAGTGTTGCTGTAAACACGGGGTCAGCAGGAAAGGGTGCTTTTGTGTGGACATAAGTTTTCTTCACAGAGAAGAAAATACCTCTGCTTCAAGTCTTATTTCCACTTATCCTTTTTCTGAGACCCACTATCTCAGGGGTATTAGTTCTGTACTTATTTACAGTTATTCCACGATAAAATGCTACCGAGACAAAATTCTTTTGAGGAAATTAATAGTAGCTTCTTTTGACTTGCATAGTTTTCTTTCTTGTTCTTAAAGTTTGAATGAAACCACCAGGCTATATCTATTGAAATTCCCTGTATGCCTGTAGGGAAGAGTAGTGGAAAATTCATATATTTAAAAAAAAAAAATAAAGAAAAACCAAGGGCTGGAAGAGTGGCTCAAGTGGTTGAGTGTCTGCCTAGTATGAGGCCCTGAGTTCAAACCCCAGGACTACAAAAAAGAAAGCTGGATATGATGATTATGCCTACAATCCCAGCTACTCTGGAGGCAGATGTAGGAGGATTGAGATTCAAGGTCAGCTCAGGGAAGAGCAGGTGACCCTATCTGAAAAAACAACTGAAAGCAAAAGTGCTGGGGGGTGGGGGGGCGCGACTCAAGTGGTAGAATACCTGCCTGGCAAGTGCAAGGCCCTGAGTTCAATCCCCAGCACCACCAACAAAACTAAATAATAAAGGCCAAAGGTAGACTGCTTTTCTCCTTTCTGAATATTTTATTTGTGGTCACTGGCTTTTGCGTTGGTACTCAGTTGGTATGAAACTCAGTTCATAAATTTCACGTAAGGCTGGAGAGGTATACATACACAAAGATCACGAATGATTTCCAACTTTTCACACACTGTGTCTTTTGGCTCAGCCTGTTATAAAGCCAGTTGCAACAGTACCTCTCCAGTGTCTAGCTGTCGGTGCTTTCTTCTAGACAACTCCCAGGTGGTATCACCTTATCCATTGCTATGTGAGTAATTTAGGATGCCTTTGTCCAAAAGTAACAAAATGCCCAACTAATAGTGATTTCAGGAACAGCAATTTCCTGGTTAGTTAATCATAACTGAGAACCCAGTTTCCTTCTCTTTCTTGTCTTCATGCCCATTTCCTCATGGTACCAAAATAGCTACCAGTCCAGCCATCACATCTGCCTTCCCACTGTCCCCAAAGGCAGGAATTTCTTCTTGGGTGTGCCCTTTATGAAGGAGGAAACCTTGCCCAGAAGCCCCAGCACATAGCCCCTTCTGTCCCATAGTCCAATTTAGATCCCGCACCCATATCCAACTGCCAGAAAGGCTTCCCTGGTGTGGTTAGCCCAGGAATGCGGAGGAGGGGAGATCCCAGCTGTTAGGAGCTGCCTGGGAATGGCCCCTCCAGGTCAGGCATCTCTGGCATCTCTGGTCTGGTTGCAGAAGGCATTACGAGAACACTCTTGCTCTAGCTGTTCCGTGGGTGTTCTCAGTGTGCTGTCTGTGTTGCTGCCTCTAAGCACAGTGACATCTCTTGGGTGTGTGCTCCTGGTGTATAAACTTCTGTTTATTGGCTGTTTCATCTTCAGTTCAGAAGACCACTGCTGTCCTCCGAGAAGGAAGGTCACTGGGATTGTTCTTATTTTTCCAACCATTGGTTCTCTTCCAAGCCTTTGGGTATCTTGTCAGCAGGTTGGCTGGTGCCTTTTTCCCACCTCAGTGTCCCTGCTTCCCTCCTGTCTTGTCTTCCTCTTTGCCCTGGTGTCTGCTAAGTACCTGGTCAGCAGTTGCCGTCCCTATGGTCCCACAGCCTCACGATGGTAAACCTGTCTACCGCGAGCACTTAGCATTGCTGTGTGACTTAACGTCCAGCGAGCGTGTTCTCAGGCAGTGGGCCTCCAACGGCCCACGCCACTCTCCCAAGCAGGGCGTAAGGCTGCCTGCATTCACGTAATAACTAGTAACAGCAGACAGCGTCATGGTTAGTGGTGAGCATTCATTCCCCTTGGAATGGCCCTGTCTGTGAGCCCCAGGTGTCAGGTTGGGGACATGGAATTTCCACAGAAGAAACGTGTGTGTGTGTGTGTGTGTGTGTGTGACACTATTCTTAGGAGTGTCGCCTAGCTTTTGTTTCTGGGTGGGGTTTCCATTGGGAAACTCCAGCCTCCTTAGGAGTCCCCTGTGCACATGAATTGTGACCGACCATCACCTCATTCGTGTCATTCCACATAGAGTTTTGAGGGATCTGCAGGGTACCATGTCAATTTGAGGTGGGTCCCCCTAAGGGGAAACTAGCCTCCCTGGGTGACTACATTGGATCACTGGCCCCTAGTGGTGCCTGGGGTGGAGAGTCCCCTCCAGTGGGAGCCCAGGAAAAATCCTGTTACCCAGGACATTGAGGCCGGGCCACCTGCCGGGTCACAGGCTGCCTGGCACCCCAGAGGTGCTCCATCGATGGAGGTCACACTGTTCACTGCTGCCATCAGCTTGTGGTGCCACCTCGGGCAGCACTTCAGGTTGTGGGTGGGCTGGGCATGCCTCAGGGAGAGGAAGGTCACACTTTGCAGGGCTTGAAGGTGACATGACACGATGACCTGTGGTTTATGAAAAGGCCTCTGGTTCCCACGTGACACTTACAGGGTTGCAGACCTCAAACAGTGACTTTTCTCCTTCACAGCATTCTTCTCTTGCATTAAGTAGGCAATGTGAGGCAGAGGGGACAAAGATTGTTCTTGTCACTCCTGAGGAGTGGCTCAGTGTAGAACACCTGCCCAGCATGTATGAGGTCCTGATCTCTTTTTAACAATGTTTGTTAAAAATGCTCATAGAACTGGTTATAAATTTATGGGGGGAAGTGCGGTGGCTCACATCTGTAATCCTGGCTACTCAGGAGGTAGAGCTTGGGAGGACCGAGGTTTCAGGGCAGCCTGGGTAAAAAGTTGGCAAGACCCCATCTCAATCAATAAAAGCTGGGTGTGGTGGTGCATGCCTGACATCCCAGCTACAGGAAGCATTAATATCAGGATCACAGTCTAGGCGGCCCAGGCATAAACCTGAGACCCTATTTGAAAAATACCTAAAAGCAAAAAGGACTGGGGTCGTGGCTCAAGTGGTAGAGTGAGTGGCTGCCTAGCAAGTCCAAGGCCCTGAGTTCAACCCCTGGTACCACAAAAAAGTATAAGGAAATACATTTTTAAAAACCTAATATTTAATTAGTATACTGTATTTTAAACCATTAGAAACAGTGAGAACTAAAGGGAGGTTTTGTTTGTAGGGATTTTGGGGGTTGTTTTGGAAGGTGGCCCCTCCCTGTCACCTCACCCTATGAGGCCTTTGGCAGCCTTCACCACAAAGCAGGAAGAAAGGTTTGCACTCTAAAAAGGCCTGTCACAGCCCGGGAGGCGAGAGGCCAATTTCTACGAACAGCATAGGTGACAGACAACCTGTTTATTACTGTGACTGGCTCTGATTTGGAGCTGCCTGATGAGACTGAACTCTTAACCTGTGGCCTCTGTTGCTAACCTCGATGACACATAGCTGAATGGGAGGACACCCAGCTGTTGTCCACCGTAGAACTGCTTGCCAGGTGTAGGGGGCCCTATCCGAGACTTGGTCACAGAGTGATCCATGCTGTGACCAAGTCACAGTGATTCTCCTGCCTCTACCTCCATGGTAGCTGTGGTTACAGGCATGCACCACTGCACCCAGCTCCAGCTTTGTTCCTTTTTTTTTTTTTGTGCTACTGGGGTTTGAACTCAGGGCCTTGCACTTACCAGGCAGGCCCTCTACCGCTTGAGCCACTCCACCAGCCCTTTTTGTTTTTATTTGTTTGAATAGGGTTTCACATTGACGCCCAGGCTGACCTGGACCACACTCCTCCTGTTTAGGCTTCCCATGTTGCCGGGATGACAG